AGCCACCTATTCCATAACTTCCCTTAGACATTCTTTATGTCCCAAATCTGACTCAAGACCTTCATCTCAAACTTGGATTTTCTCCTCTGTTCTGCATCTCAGGGAATGGACCCACCATCTATCCAACTGCAGAAGCTGGAAACCTGGGAATCATCTTTGGTACTTATACCTCCCCCAGCCCATGTCTGTCTTGCTGATTTAAACTCCTAAATATCTCTCTTTACCTTGACTATTTTTCTATGTCCATCTTCACCATCCAGGTCCAAGGTACCCTCATCGCTCACCTGGGGAAACTGGCTTTCTTTATACTTTTTTTTTTTTTAAGATTTTATTCATTTATTTGAAAGAGAGAGAGCACAAGTGGATGGAGGGACAGAGGGCGAGAGAAGCAGACTCCCTGCTGAGCACAGATCCCAATGTGGGGCTCAATCTCAGGACCCCGAGATCATGACCTGAGCTGAAGTCAGCCGCTTAACTGACTGGCATCCCTGGTACCCCTGCCCTTCTTTATACTTGGGCTCCTGCTGACCCATTCTCTACAAAGTGTCCTGAATGATCTTATATTTTATTTTTTATTTTATTTATTTATTTATTTATTTATTTATTAAAAGATTTTATTTATTTATTTGAGAGAGAGAGAATGAGAGACAGAGAGCAGGAGAGGGAAGAGGGCAGAGGGAGAAGCAGACCCCCCGCTGAGCAGGGAGCCCGATGCGGGACTGGATCCCGGGACTCCAGGATCATGACCTGAGCTGAAGGCAGTCGCTTAACCAACTGAGCCACCCAGGCGCCCTTATTTTTATTTTTTATTAAGCAGGCTCCATGCCCAGCATGGAGCCCAACACAGGGCTTGAACTCATGACCTTGAGATCAAGACCTGAACTGAGATTAAGAGTCCGGTGCCTAACGGACTGAGCCACCCATGTGCCCCCTGAATTATCTTTTAAAAATACAACCCTGATCATGTCTCTTCCTTGCTTAAAAATCTTTCAATGACTCCTCATCATCCTTCTTAGACTCAAGTTCTAAACATGGCTGACCAAACCCCCAGGATCTTCAGCCTTATTTTGTACCTTTGTCTCCCTTCCCTCTGCTCTGGCCAACCTAGCTGTTCTGGATGGGTTAGTTGGCAGACAGCATCCATTCCCACTGTTTTTTGTTTGTTTTTTAACTCTACCCCCAAAGTGGGGCTTGAACTCACGACCCTGAGATCAAGAGTCACAGGCTCGGGATGCCTGGGTGGCTCAGTCGGTTGAGCGTCTGCCTTCGGCTCAGATCATAATCCGGGGGTCCTGAGATTGGGTCCCGCGTTGGGCTCCTTGCTCAGCGGGGAGCCTGCTTCTCCTTCTGCCTGCCGTTCCCCCGCTTGTGCTCTCTCTCTCTCTGACAAACAACAACAACAACAACAAAAAAAACCTAAAAAAAAAAAAAAAAAGTCACAGGCTAATGGCTCTTGGGGCTCTTGGCTGGCTCAGTAGGAAAAGCAGGACTGAGCTCGCGTTTCTTCCCGCGCGCGTTGTGGGCTTGCGGTTGAGGTGTATTTCTAGGGTCGGGTTGGGCTAGTCCGCGGGATGGGCAGTCCTCTCCCCCGACGGCGACAGTGCGGGTTGAGTCTAGAAGGCCGTAGTCGCTGATTCTCTGGCACGAGGACCTCTTAGGGAAGTGGGAGGGGCTGCGAGGAGGGAGCCACGTGTTGGGGCTTCTGGTGCCGGGGTGGGAGCCCCTGCACCACATCCGCGCTGTCCCTTGCCCCGCGGGTCTTCCGCTGGTTGGGTGTTGGTGTCGCTGTCGCCGGCCCCATTGCCTCCTCTGTCTCACGTTTCTGTAGAAGCGAAGTACCTTTCGCCTACTGTTCAAGGAAGGGTATCCAGGACCTGTTTTTGTTTTTCTCCTGCAACTCTCATTTTTCTTATCTCCTGAGTGTAAATTTTCCAAGTCAGAAAGCAGATTTTCATTTGGGAAGAGACGTCCTGTAATGTGTAATACAGACTGAGACCAGCTATGTTAAGCACTTGAGGTGTGTTATGTAATCCACATAGCAATCTAAAGGATAGGTACTCTTACTGTTCTCATTTTCATGTGAAGAAACAGACTGCTTAGTAACTCCTCCACGTTGTCTTTAGCTTGTCTCTTGATAAACAGTGGTTTCCAAAGATGTAAAATTAAAATGCGCTATTAAATTGTAAAAAAAAAAAAAAAAAAAAGGAAAAGCATACAATTCTTGATCTCGGGGTCGTGAGTTCGAGACCCATGCGAGGTGTAGAGATTACTTAAATAAAACTTAAAAGAAAAAGTTGTAGGCTCTCTCGACTGAGCCAGCCAAGTGCCCTGATTCCCACTGTTTATGTGCCTTCCTGTGCTCACATACTGGAAAGCTAAAACACTTCCTGACTCCCCCGCAGCAAGTAGATATATTTGCATGAGGTTTGAAGGTGAAAGTAAGGCAGGAGTCAAATAGTTTCGGCTGTTTCTGCTCCTAAGTAAGATTGTGGAGACACGTGTGTCCTGTCTCTGGCTTCGAAAACTCATTTCATTGTCCTGGCAGTAGAAATGGCAGTGGCCTTCTGATCTCGGCAGCCTGTCCTTGGATGGTAGCTTCAGTAGTGTGTCCTCAAACTCAACCTTTCCAGTGACGGCTTCCTGGATCCTTTCTAGGAGAGGTAGCAGATCCTGTAGTAGGTCAGTTCAGTAGTGTTCTAGGAGTCATTCCTAATACCCAACTTAGGCCCCATCACCTTCTTCAATACCTACAGTGGTTTCTGTTTCTAAACCTGGACTTTTACACTGAGCATTTGGTTTCTAGAATCAGCCATGCCTCCTCTCACCATAGGGTTGTTATACTTGTTACCCTTTTTGCGGAGGTCTCTTAATCCCCAACCCCATCTCTCAATTAACTCCTCATAGATCTTCTTGACCTCAGTTCAAACGTTTTCTCTGGGAAGTTATCCCTGACCTCCCAAGACCAGATCAATCTCTGTATGTTTCTTTCAGTGCTTGATCATAGTTTGTAATTCTTTGTGTGTCTCTAGAATTTGAGACCCAGGGAACTTGACTCTTGCTGTATTCCATGCCTAGAGAGAGTTGGTGCTTAGTATACATGCTAAATAAGTGGATGGAATGGAGGTGGCCAGACTGGAGGGGGTCAGGACAAAATAAAGCCTCTTAAGTAACGCCGACAGGCCCAACAGGCCCTGGGCCACCTCCTCTTGGCCTTTTCCGAAGCACATCTTTTGGTGACTCTACAGTCAGCCTGAACACCCTGTGTGCTCTGGCCTCAGGGTCTTTGCACAGACTCTTTGTGCTGCTTGGACGGCTCGGCACTCTTCACCGGGCTTCTTCATCTTGCGGGTTTCAGTCATGACATCATCATCTCTTCCAGGAGACCTGTACTTCAGACAATTTTATATTCTTTGTATATCTTTTTCAGAATTTTTAAAAAATACTTAATAGTATTTTAAAAACTGCTCTTTACTCATCTGCATCTCCCTCTGCAAGTAACTATCTCATTCCCGGGTGTATGCAAAATGCCTTGCAGGAGGGCTTGGCTTTAACGGCCCTCGTATCTGTTGAAAGCCCAATGAAAAGAATGTCAGTTAGCCAGCCTCAGTCTGGGGATCTCTGCATACTCCCTAGGAACCCATGAACAGTGAGGGATTGTAATTTGGGGGTTGCTAGATCAGGAAAGGAAGCTGGGGGAGGTTTGTTCCGTTCCAGCCCATGGCTCCGTCCCCAGACCGCCAGGCAGGAGGCCCTGGAGCAGATCCTGTGGGGGATGGGCAGGGAAATAGTTTCTTCCTCTGCTCCCTTCAGGAGAGCTGGGGGGAGGGGGGAGGTGGGGGGAAGGGTAGAGAGAGGGAAGATTCCTTCCAAGGAGGCTCCTTGGCACAGTGCCTGCTTGGAGGGAAGGAGGGTCTGATGAATGCATGATGAATGCAGGCTTTCTCCCCGCCTCCAGCCTGTGAAGGAGGGAAACCCAAGGCACAGAAGGGAGAGATAAGGGGGAGGGATCAAGGAGGGAAGGGTCTGTTTGCTTTGGGAGACAAGAATGAGGGGCTGAGCAGGCCTGGAAAGGCAGGGCTCCTAAGAGCCAACCAGGCCTCGACTACACCTTAGCAGTTCTGGAAATATCCTCAAATCACTGAGTTAGAGAATCAAAACATTGAGAACTTTGGTTCTTAGGATTGGATCATTTTAACATCTCAGAGCTGAAGATCCTTCAGTCGGTTGTGTCTGGGGTCTCCAGGGCTGGCTTGGAGTGAGTCAACTCTCTGGGAAGTTTCCTGGACTCTTTCTTCCTCCCTTAGTACCTGAAGAGATGGCATTTTTTTTTTTTTTAAAGATTTATTTATTTTTATTTGACAGACAGAGACAGCGAGAGAGGGAACACAAGCAAGGGGGTGGGAAAGGGAGAAGCAGGCTTCCCGCCGAGCAGGGAGCCCAATGTGGGGCTCGATCCCAGGACTCTGGGATCATGACCCTGAGCCGAAGGCAGACGCCCAACGACTGAGCCACCCAGGCACCCCAAGAGATGGCATTTTTAAAAGCCCATAAATACTTTGCATCCAACTCATGGCATTTACTCTAAGATGATGGAGCTAACATCTTACTTCTGCCTTCCCCATTGTAATCTCCTGAGGCCAGAATCCATCTCTCTCATTTTAGTACCATTCAGAACTGTGGTCTCAAACCTGGCTGCCAATCAGAATTGTTTGGGGATGCTTACTAAAAAAATTTTCACTCACACCAGCGATTCTGATTCCTTGGAGCAAAGTTAGGGCTTAAAATTTGAGTTTTTACAATGTGCTAAGTGAGTGTGATGCATACATAGGGTTTAGGTGACAATTCCAAAGGGCCTGGCACAACATAGTAGGTGCTAAGCGTGGCCTGCAGGGGTTGGAAATGTTTTTGCAGGGTAAACAAATGATGTGTAGAAATATGGATTGAACTAGAGTCTGTGTACCCCAGCATCTTACACTTTGAAAGGAGATAGGGCAACAGTGTTAGCAATACAAAAGATAAATATTTATTCAGAACAAAACTTTTAACAATCGATTTTACATTCTAAGCCACAAGGAAATAGCAAAACATAATGCAAAGGAAAAACAAAAACTAAAAGAAAAGCAGCTTACTGTCTTTTCTACTTTAACTCGGTAACACTTAGTTGACCCAATGCCCTCTTGCTTGACCTATTTTGCAAGCAAATTTTAGAGTTAACAGCTTACTTATGATTCCAGGTTAAAATCACCTTTCTCCTGTGAGTCAGGAAGTTGTAGATGTGCTCCAGTTAGAGGCTTCTCTGGGGTTTCTAGCTACTGGGGCTAAGGTGCAAACGTAAACCTCTGGTAGGTTTCCTTATTTAGGAACACCCCCATTTCTAAGTGGTGGCAGTGAATGATGAAGGGTAAGGCCCCAAAGGACTTGGCACTTTAATCCAGATATAATACCCCAGGGAGCAATGAGTACACCCTAGATTGTGTTCCTTTGGCCCTCCTCTATCTCCCAAGTATTCAGAAGCCCCTGCTAAATCCCTTTCTGCTTCCTCCCGGAGACGATTTCTTAGCATTCCTCTGGGCTCATCATTCTGGAGAGATCAGACTTTCTGGGCCCTCAAGTGTTGAGGAAAATGTTGTGAAGTGTGAGAGGTAGTGGAATGAGCACCGGGCTTGGGGTCAGGGAACTCTACTCTAGGCTAGCTCTGGCACCAGACAGCTATGTGATTTTGACCCAGTCATTTAACCTCTCTGGGCCTGTTTCATCTGCTGGAAATCCATGGGATTGGTCTAAACCAATTTTTAGGTCCTTTCCAGCAAGAAAATTCCAAATTCCATGATTCTGTGAAAAATGGCTTCTGAGCCACTGAACAGCTGTCCCAAAGTCCATGCATTTTAATGCCATAAGAGAGGCCCTTGGCCACCATTCAGAGCTTACTGACTCAGATTACATACACTTCTAACAACACTGGTTTCACAAATTCTCAGACCACATAGATTAGAAGCAGCAAATTAAACGGGGAAGGTAAGAGCTGCAAAAAGTAGACACCCTGACAGAAGCCAGTCAACAATGTTCTCAACAAACTACTGATGGAGTGCCTACCACGTGGTGGGCCCCGCACCTAGTGCTGGGGCATAAAGATGAGCAAGGCAGCCCAATGGATGAAAATCCCGGGAGAAGACAAGGCGTGGGGAATAAAAAAAGTACAAAAAACCCCACACAAAAACCACACACAAAAACAAAAACAAAAACCAACCCAGATACAAAAACGAAAACAAAATTTTAAAAAGGGAGAGGCGACACATCTGCACGCTACAGTTCTCGGTGGTTACTGATGACAGAGTCACCAATTCAGAAAAGGCTGAAATGGAGTAAACTCGGTTTAAGAAGGCAGAGAGAGAGATGTCTCTTGTAGGTTTAAAAAAAAGTTTTGGCACTTAAGAGGGGTAAGCTGGCTCTGTGTTCACCCTGGCAGGCAGGTGGGTGTTCAGTGCCCAGCCATCCCGGTTAGCTGAGCTGCCACGGAATTGTGAACTGCTTTGGGACACTGGGCAAAGGCGTGTCCTCGCTTGCCACAGAGGTTACACACGATACCCTTCCGGCAATAAGGGCTCAGGTGACCCTCCTCCCCGCACCTGAAGCACCTGTCCTGCGTGCAGCTGCCGCTCATGTGGGTCCGGGAACCACATTTAAAGCACGTCTTGGGCTGCCCCTTGTACCAGCTGTAGCCCCTCTCGGCCCCCAGGAAGAAGGCCCCCGGCAGGTGCCTGACCCCGCCCTCCCCCTGGCGCAGCTCGATCTCACACTTGTACTCCCCGGTCCAGATCCCAAACCTGTCGGTCACTTTCACGGGCACTGCCAGCACATCGCAGTGGCGCTTGAGCCAGGTCACGATGTCCTCCACGTCCACCGTCTCGTTCCGGAAGAGGATGAAGAGCGTCTTCAAGCTGGACTTGCTCCGCCCCAGCACCACAAAGTTCTCCCAGCAGTCCTCCTGCTCGCGCTTCTCCTCGTAGACGCGTAGGAACAGGGCCAGCTTCTCCGCCGAGCGGAAGCTCACGTCGAACTCGCGGCTGCCTGGGATCTGGATGACCGCGTAGATGTCGCTCGGGTCCATGCCGATGGAACGCAGGATGAGCGCGCCCACAACGAAGTCCCGGGTCGGGCAGGCGCCCTCGTCTCCCTGGAAACAGATGCGCACCAGGAAGCGGCCCTTGCCCGGGCCCGCCGCGGGGCCCGTCGCCACTGCCTGCTCGTCCTGAGCGGGCCGCTCGGCCGCGTCCTCCGCCGCGCCAGGCCCGGCCGGGCCCGCCATGGCCGCCGCCGCCGCCGCCTCGGCCTTCTTCCTCCGGCCCGCCTCGGGTGCACCCTTCTTCTTGCGGGGATCCGCCGCCTCGCCGGCCGGGTCTCTCCGCCGACCCTTCGGGTCCCCGCGGCCGGCCGGGGGGAAGTCGCCGAGGCCCGGCGCCGCCAAGCCCGCGGGGGCGCCGAGCCCGCCGCCCACGCCGCTGCCTCCCTCCTCCTCCCGCCGCGACGGCCGCGACTCGCGGAACTCGCCCTTCTTCTCGGCCAGGTTCTTCACCACCTGGGCCCAGCCCATCTTCTCGCGGCCGCCCTCGGCCTCCTCGCCGCGAGCGGCGGGCCGCGCGGGGGGCAGGAGCTGCGGCCGCCCCCGCTTCCTCTCCTCCTCCGCGCCGCCGCCGGTGGCCATTTTACCTCCTTCCCAGCATCCTCCACTCGCTCCCGCAGCCAAAGGGCGCCCATCCGCGCGCCCGCCCGCCCGGGGCTGTGGGGGTTTGGTGGGTTGTTGTTGTTGTGTGTGTTTTTTTTTTTTTCTTTTGAAATTCGACGCTTCTCTCCCCCGCCCCGCTGAAGGTATTTACCCGCAGCGCGCCGCGGCCAGCGCCGGCCCGGAGCCCTCGGGTAACGGCCGAGCCTCGTGTCCGCCGGCGCGCTCCGGCCCCACCTCCTGGGCGCCGAGGCGGGATGCGCCGCTTGGAGCGCGTCCCTGTCCCCCGCGAGGGCTTGGCAGCCCCGGGCCACGCTCTCGAGGATTTGCTCTTTCGCAAGCGGTCCTCGATTTCATTCCGGCAGCATCACGAACGGCCCTCGGCCCTGAGGCGGGCCCGAGCGGAGGAGGATCTCGCCCATTTTGTTTTCTTTTCGATACCTTTTCTGTTTATCAAGAAACAAAACGAAACTAACTGCTCCTCCTCCCAAAGCACACGACAGTGCATTGTTTTTCCGGCGTTGGGTTATAGACATTTTCAAACAGAGAAAGTTGAAAGAATTTTACCCAGTGGCTATTTTACCTCTAACTTTGGACTATTTTAACTTTCTATCAGAAATTTTCTATGCCTTGTCACACTGCACCTCTATCCATAAGTCCTTATTTTTTGATACACCTCTAAGTAATACTGAATTATTTTTTAAAAAGGCCTTCATCATACTCATGATGACAATTATAATATATTGAGCTCTTCAGCGCCCGGTACTGTTCTAAGCACATTAGGACAATTGCAAGCCTTATCACATGGAATCTTCCAAAACCACGCTGTCATTATACCCATCTTACGGGAGGCAGGGGGCTTGGAGACAGGGTTAAAACACTTGGTGAATTGGCAGAGTTCATAGGCGACCGCGTGAAGCTGGCTTGTATTTCTAAAATCGCTTGCTTCTGACATTGTGGATCAAGGATGTCTGCGTCAGACTCGCCAGAAAAATCTGGTTAACACAAAGATTTTTGGCTAAAGTTAGCGCTGGACAGAATTTCTGTTCCTCCTTCATCTGTCTCAACTGGAGCTTTGGAACAAAGCATTGATAAAATCTGGGTGTTTGAGGGGATGGGTTTAACAATACCCTTTGTTAGCTTTGTTTTCTTAATGCAAGTCTGTGGGCATCTCAGGGTGCTTCAGTGGCCATTGTGACTTTGGTGAAAGAAGAGGTGGAGATAGGGAGACCCTAGTGTGAATCTGACTGCTTTGAATCTCAACTTTGTCACATGGGGCCAATGACCTCAGTTTTCATAGCTTCAGTTTGCTCATCCATAACAAAGGGATAAGGTCTACTCTCAGAGGACTAGTGTTGGGGTTCAAGGAGATAGCCTGTGTCAAAGAGCTTGGTCCACAGTGGGATTTCCAGGAAAGGTCATCCTTCCTTCTGTTGGTGTTGGATTCTCTCCTATTTCTCTGCCATATCCTCTAGTTCTACTTAGCATTATGGAGTCCCTATGAGTTCTCATCTTACGATCTTTCGCTTCACCCAGTTCCACATATTGGGGAAGCCGACATCTCCAACTCTTGTGCCATTTGGACCTTCCAGTTCCCTTACATTATAACCTCTGGAGTGCTTTCCTCCATCCCTTCTCTGCCACACATTCCCATGATCATACTCAGATCACTACCAGAAGCATCAAACTCTTATTAGAGTCATGTAATCCACTCTTTTCTTCTTTCTGTTTGCCAGCTCACTGGGAGGACTTTTACAAAACCAAATAGAACCTACATAATTTAAAACAATCTCTTCCATTCCTCTTCCCTATCCTCCCACCCCAGGCAATATCATACGAATATCTACAGGATCAGGCAGGTACCTTAAATAAGAACAATGTGCTGGGTGAAATGGAGAGCAGGTATTTTATCTGAAGGGGCAGTCGCAATCAACTCTAGCTGATTATTGCTCTCCGTGAGAGCCCTCTATAGCCAGATACTCCAAATTCTAAAGAGAAAACCGAATTCTTATTTTATTTATGGGAAGCATTCTTCCTTCTTCCATAAGACTGTCTCAGCTATATTTGGATCCTCTGTACAAAATTTAGAATCAGTCTACTAAGTTCCAGGAAACCATTTTTTGGGATTTCAATTGGAATTGCATTGAATTTGTACATAATTGCCATTTTATAATACTAAATTGCTCCATCTATAACCTCACTGGATGTCTCGTTTATTTAAGTCTTATTATTTTTATAAATTGCAATAACATTTTATAGTTTTATTCATAAGGGTCTTGCATAATTAAATTATTCCAAGGTACGGTATGGTTTGGTTGCTATTGTAAATAATAGGTTTAGAAATTACATATTTGTTATTGGTATTTAAAGGGAATACAACTGGGGCCCCTGGGTGGCTCAGTTGGTTAAGCAACTGCCTTCGGCTCAGGTCAGGATCCCAGGGTCCTGGGATCACCCCGTATCCTGCATCGGGCTCCCTGCTCAGTGGGGAGCCTGGTTCTCCATCTCCCTCTGTCTGCCACTCCCCCTGCTTGTGCTCTCTCTCTCTTTCAAATAAATAAAATCTTTTAAAAAAATAAAGGGCATAGGGGCGCCTGGGTGGCTCAGTCGTTGGGTGTCAGCCTTCGGCTCCGGTCGTGATCCCAGGGTCCTGGGATCAAGCCCTGAATCGGGCTCCCTGCTCAGCGGGGAACCTGTTTCTCCCTCTCCCACTCCCCCTGCTGTGTTCCCTTTCTCTCTGTATCTGTCAAATAAATAAATAATTAAAAAAAAATAAAGGGCATAAAATTGAATTTTGTGTAGTAGCAACAATGTTGACATCTTTTAAAATTTCCAATGGTTTTTATAATCACTTTGTTTTTCTGTGTTGATAGTCAATATTGTCTGAATAACGAAGGTTTTGCTCTTTCTGCTCAGATCTTACACTTTTTTTTTGGTCTTACTGCACTAGTCAGGACCTCTCATACAACCAACATACAGTGGGCATTTTTGTTTTATTTCTGGCTACAAAGAGATCTGTTTGTATTTTGAAAAGATTTGACTTGTGGATTGGGTTCTGGCTCCATCTGAAATTTTAGTAACAACATCTTGTATTGTAAGGTTTTGTTGATATGTGTATGGCCATACCTTCCATCAATTCCATTTTTCTCAGGTCAAGTTTTGCAGATCCAAGATTTCTATATTCTCTTTTGGTTATTTTTTGCTTTATTTCTTGTTGATTATCACTGCCAGCAATTTTCCCTATGAGTTAGATAAAAGACTAAACCTTTATATTTATTTCTCAGTGGATTTTTTAAAAATTATCAGGCATCCTCCTTAGCAGTGTTCCAGCTGTCAGACTGGCCTGTTGTGGAGATCGTTGAACCAGGAGCTACAGGGGCCAGGCAGGTATCCTGTGAACAGATCAGTCCAGATGGGTACTGAGGCCATCTACAGAGGGGAGCTTGACTTATTTCTGGCAAATTATTGCCACAGAAGGATATCAGAGTTGGTCAGTTTGGCACCTCAGTTTAGGTTCTTATTGACAGACTTTTGGAATTGCACCTTTAAAAAATGTATTTTAGGGGCGCCTGGGTGGCTCAGCCGTTAAGCGTCTGCCTTTAGCTCAGGTCATGGTCCCAGGGTCCTGGGATCAAGCCCCGCATCGGGCTCCCTGCTCGGCAGGAAGCCTGCTTCTCCCTCTCCCACTCCCCCTGCTTGTGTTCCCTCTCTCGCTGTGTCTCTCTCTGTCAAATAAATAAAATCTTAAAAAAAATGTATTTTATTTTATTTAAAAAATTTTTTTAAGGATTTTATTTATTTGAGAGAGTAAGTGAGAGAGAGCACAAGCTGGGGGAGGGGCAGAGGGAGGGAGAGGAGCAGACTCCCTGCTGAGCAGGGACTCAATCCCAGGACCCCAGCTGGATCGTGACTTGAGCTGAAGGCAGGCACTTAACCGACTGTGCCACCCAGGCACCCTGCACTTTGTTTTAAAAAAAGATTTTATTTATCTATTTGAGAGAGCGAGAGCAAGCAGGGGGAGGGGCCAAGGGGGACTGAGAGGAACAAGCAGACTCTGGAGCTAAGTGTGGAGCCCGACCCAGGGCTCTATCTCATGACCCTGGGATCATGACCTGAGCCAAAACCAAGAGTCAGATGCTCAACCAACTGAGCCACCCAGGCACCCTGGATTTGCACTTTTTTAAAAAAAGCTAGTTAGGAGACTGTGGAGGAGGCATGATTTTGAGATGCACCTTGAAAGAAGAAGCGGGTTGGAGTGCAAGAGAGAAAAAAATCTGTGGGCCAGAATTTGGCAGGTAGGTCTCTCTGTCCTGCAATGTCGTAGTCTGGGTGTGAGAGAAGTAGATGTGTGTATGTGGGGTGGTGGTAGTAAGGAGTATGATTCCAGATGTACTTTGAAGGTATTGCTGACAGACTTGGATGTGCGATGAGAGGTGAATCAAAAGATGAATCAAGGGTGACTCCAGGAAGAGTGTTGCCATTTTGAGTTGGGGGAGAGTTGCATGTTAAGAGTTGCCTATTAGGCACCCAAGTAGAGATGCTGAGTAGACAGTTGGATGTATGTGGCTGGAATTCAGTGGAGACGCTGGAGATATGAGTCTGGGAGGCATCCAGGTAGAGATGGCATCCGAAGTCACAAGACTGGAAGGGAACATGAATGGAGTGTGAGTGGATAGAGGAAAAGGGAGGGTGGGTCTGAGCCTTGAGACACTCCAATAATAAAGGGAGAAGAGGAAGAATCAGCAAAAAAGAGAAGGGGTCAGGAAGCCACTCAGGAGAGTGGTTTCCTGGGCACCTAGTTTAGAAAGTGTTTCAAGGAGGGAGTGATTCGCTCTGTCAAATGCTGCAGATAGGCCAAGTAAGATGAGGATGGAGAAGTGACTGTGACGTTTAGCAAAGTGGAGGACACTGGTGGCATTGACAAGGACAGTTTTAGTGGAGAGGTAGAGAATGAAAGCCTGATTCAGAGGTGGAAAGGAATGGGCAACAGTAGGGGCACCTGGGTGGCTCAGTCGTTAAGTGTCTTCCTTAGGCTCAGGTCCTGATATCAGGGTTCTGGGATCGAGCCCCACGTCGGGCTCCCTGCTCGGTGGGAAGCCTGCTTCTCCCTCTCCCTCTGCTGCTCCCCCTGCTTGTGTTCCCTCTCTCACTGTGTCTCTCTCTGTCAAATAATAAAATCTTAAAAAAAAAAAAAGGAATGGGCAACAGTAGACAAACCTCTCTAGGAGTTGTGCTGTAAGTGAAGCAGAAATGGCAGTGTAGCTAGATGGGAAGTGGTCACTTTTTAAATTTTTAAAAAAATTTATTAATTATTTATTAATTTTATTTTTTAAATTAATTTATTTAAAAAAAGATTTGACAGAGAAAGAGCACAAGCAGGGGGAGCGGCAGGCAGAGGGAGAGGGAGAAGCAGGCTCCCCACGAAGCAGGAAGCTTGGTGCGATGCGGGGCTTGATGCGATGACCTGAGCTGAAGGCAGATGCTTAACTACTGAGCCACCCAGGCGCCCCTGTTCACTTTTTTAATAGAAGAAATTAAAATATGTTGGTATACTGAATAATATAGAGAGGATGATAGGAGAAAAGGGGAATTGCTGGGGCGGTATCTTAGAGAAAAATGAGGAGGGTAGGATTCAGTGTACAGTTGTCGAAATCGGTCTTAACAGGCAGTTTATACAGTCACAGGAGGGAGACAATTAGGTGGGTAAATTAAGTGATGTGAAAATGTGAGTTTACTGGGGCGCCTGCGTGGCTCAGTCGTTAGGCGACGGGCTCCCTGCTCAGCGGGAAGCCTGCTTCTCCCTCTCCCACCCCGCCGCTTGTGTTCCTGCTCGCTCTATCGATGTCTCTGTCAAATAAATAAACACAATCTTAAAAAAAAAAATGTGAGTTTACTGATCCCCATGATTTTCTTAGTGAAATAGGAAGCAAAGTCATTAGACAAGGCAAGAGTAAGGATGGAGAAGAAAGTGATGGAGGTTTGATGAGAAGGAAATATGACATAATTCTTTAGGATGATGGGTGGGGCCCAGCGGAGCAGGCTCTGGAGAGCTCCGTTCTCCTTGAGAGATTAGTCCCTCCGGGCGCTCGGTAGTCTGCGCCCGTTTCCTTGGAGACGGAGACGAGGGACGGGTCTCGCTGGGAAGTTTCAGTGGCCTAGGTTACCACGCGGTCCACGCTGAGGCAAGAAAGTCGGAGAAGCCGAATAATAAGTATCGCAAGAGATCAGGGCTCCACAGACTCACTACTCGTCTTCCATTTTCCCCAATGGCGCGCGTCTTTCCGAAGTAGGTGTAAGAATCGAAGGGTGGCGGAGTGCGCATGCGTGTCCGCCTTTGCTCGGTCCTGGCCTGGTTGTCTTTTTGACCCCGCCCCCTCTCCGCCCACATCTCCCTAGCCCCGCCTCCCCCTCGCGCTCTCCCACCCCCGCTCCCTCGGGTGCCTAGTGAACTGTGGTCTCTGTGGAGACTCCACGCGTGTTTCACGTTTGCTGCTTACAGTCGCAGGGGTTGGGAATGATGGAAGTTCTTTCCCGTCCCAACTCTTTCCAGACCCAACCACTCTGGGATTCGCTCCACAGTCCACAACTTCCAGAATCTGGTGAGTCCGGGAGGGCTGGGGAGGAGATGGGGGCTTGCTGACCCTGGGTCTGCAGTCCGCCTGCCCCCATGGCCGTGACTGTCCCGGCCGATGGAATCGGGAGACCTGAAGTACAGGCCTACTTGTGTTACACATTTGCTGTAGGACCCGGAGCCAAGCCCCCGAACCTGTTTTCGCACCACCTTATCCGAATGTGAGGGTATATTATACTGCTCTATTACTCATCTCTGATTGCTCCTCTGGTTTCCTCTTGGCTCTTTTCCATGCCTTGTGTTTAAGAACAGTGTGCCACAGTTCTTAGCACCTCACAGCCTGGATGTGCTTAGTAAATTACGGCTGGCTGATAAAACAAGTGATAGCTAACATTTATGGAGCACTTAACACATGCTTTACAAATATCATCTCTTGGAGTTCTCCCATCAATCTGTGGAGGTAGGTTTTATAACTAGATCTAGTTTACAGATGTGAAAAATTGAGGCTCAGACCTCAAAAGTCACTTGCTCAAGGTCACAGATATCTGTAAGGGGCAAAGCTGGGATTTGAACTCATCAGGCTGTGTGACTGATTGTTTTATATCTGGTAGGATTATGTTCCATGGCAGCGGTCCAAGCAGAAAACCAAGTCACCTACTCTGCCTCCCCTCCTACAAACCAGAGGCCACCAGAAGAGCAAAACGAAGACTTTGCCTAGCGTCCTTCCAGGTGGGCAGAGGCACTTGAGGCCGGATATGGGAATTGGGGACAGGATAGAGTGTATGCCCTTGGCCTTTGATGACATCAGTTATATTAGAGTAGGCTAATTGCTGTGACAAACAATCCCCAGGTTTCAAGTATTAGTACAGAAGCTTATTTCTCATTTATGTCAAAGTACATTTGTGAATCTGCAGGGGTGGAAGTAATCTTTTCCACATGATCATGCAAGGATCCAGGCTCCTTCAGCCTTGTGGCTCTGACAGTTTGTAAGGCCTTGAAGTCCTCTGCTTGATTCGGGGGACTGCATTCAGTCTGCATTCAGCTGGTAGAGAGGGAAGAGAGAGAGAGCAAAAATATCGGTAATTTTGTTGGCAATTTTTTTTTCAGGGCCTAGACTTGACATGACCCATATCAGTCCTGCTCATATTCCAGTGGCCATAACTCAGTCATATGACCACCCTTAACCACAAGGGAAAATGAGAAATGTCCTGCTGTGTGTCCAAGAGGAAAATAAAACAGGGTTTGGTCAACTCAGGATAATCTCTGCCATGTCTTTGTCATGCTGTCCAGGGGAGTTCTCACGCCCTTGGCTGAGTCAGACATGGGTTCACATCTTGGCTCTGCTGTTTACTATCTTGGAAAAGCCATTCATCTCTCTGAGCTTTAGTTTTCTCGTTTGTAATATGAGGACCTGATAAGATTGTTGCAAGAATTAAATGAGAAGATCTATATAAAGCATTGTTGCTCTCAACCTTATCAGACCCAACATTCCTTTTTTTTAAATTTAAGATTGATTTATTTATTTGAGGAGAGCATGAGCAGGGGGAGAGAGGGAAGCAGACTTCCTGTTGAGCTGGGAGCCCAACATGGGGCTCGATTCCAGGACTCTGCATTAATGACCTGAGCCGAAGGCAGTCACTTTTTTTTTTTTTTTTAAGATTTTATTTATTTATTTGACAGACAGACACAGCCAGAGAGGGAGCACAAGCAGGGGGAGTGGGAGAGGGAGAAGCAGACTTCCCGCGGAGCAGGGAGGCAGCCCGGTGTGGGGTTGGATCCCAGGACCCTGGGATCATGACCTGAGCCAAGGCAGATGCTTAACAAGTGAGCCACCCAGGTGCCCGCGGAAGGCAGTCACTTAACTGACTAAGCCACTCAGGTGCCCTCCCACCATCCCTTTTAATAACAAATACTTTGTAATATTCCTTTAGTATCTGAAATAAACTTCATACATAATATCACCTACCTATATATAATTAAAAACTTAATATAATGCCCAAAGTGTAAAGTAAAGGAAAAGTAAAAGGAAAGTTACTTATAGTTAAATAACATATATTTCAGTATGTAAATGCCCAGGATGTGCTCCACTAGAAGATATGTCAAAGTAGTCAGAAGGGGAGATACGGAGTCGTGAATGTAACCATTGCAAATGCAGACTGACATGTGGTGGGATATCAGGGACTCAAATATCCAAATGGATGTTTCATTGTGGTCCTGATTTCCAAAGTGGTGCCCATCTCTTGGTAAAGTTCTGAACAAAACAAAGTACAATCTTCCCTTGAATGTAGCTGCTTTCTTGGAAAATTTAGCATTACTGTAAAACTCTGCAAAATATTCTTTGTGTTTATATGTGAAAGAGTCAGGTTCTGGGATCAGATCATTATAAATAGGGTTTTTTTTTTTTACCTACATCAGTATCTGCTAGGGTTTTGGAAAGTCATGCAGGGCATAGGAGAATTCTGTGTTCCATGGGGCTGTCCTGTTCTGGGGGATATCTAGTGTCCCTGGCCCCCACCCCCAGATGCCTGGTGGGACCCCCAATATTTCAGAGAACCACAAATCCTCTCTACCAATGTATCTAAAACATCGTGAAGAGTCTCTGATGTAAAGTGCTGAGCACAAGGCCTGGTGGTAGTGACAGAATTTTTGACTTTGGCTCTAGACCCTATTCACACAGCATCTACAAGGAAACACTTTCCTTTCCTTCACTGGGGAAGGAATGTAACAGATACCACCATGGTAAGAACAAGAACAATTAACATATACCAAGCCCTTAGGTACTGTTCTCAGCACTTGACCCGTATCACTTCATTTAATCTTCTCAACAACCCTGTGAGGTGGGTGCTCTTTTACCACCTCCTCTTAGAGATGAGGCATGGACAGGTGTAACTTTGAAGGTCACAGGGAGGAGGGGGCAGAGCCAGGCTGTGACATTTGGCAGTTTGGCTCCAAGAGGCACAATCTTTTTTTTTTTTTTTTTTAAGAGTGAGGGGAGGGGCAGAAGGAGAGAGAGAATCTTTTTATTTTATTTATTTACTTATTTATTTATGCGGGGGAGGGGAGAGAGAGAGAATGAGAGCACAAGCACGAGCGGGGGGAGGGGCAGAGGGAGAAGCAGACTCCCTGCTGAGCAGGGAGCCCAATGCGGGGCTCGATCCCAGGACCCTGGGATCATGACCTGAGCTGAAGGCAGACGCTTAACTGACTGAACCACCCAGGTGCCCCGGAAGAGAGAGAATCTTTTTTTTTTTTTTTTTAAAGATTTTATTTATTTATTTGAGAGAGAGAATGAGATAGAGAGAGCATGAGAAGGGGAGGGTCAGAGGGAGAAGCAGACCCCCCGCTGAGCAGGGAGCCCGATGTGGGGCTCGATCCCAGGACCCTGGGATCATGACCTGAGCTGAAGGCAGACACTTAACCATCTGAGCCACCCAGGCGCCCCACTACACAAAACTTTAAATACACTTGAGATAGATGGATAGAAGGAGGTCATCATTTCATTCATTCCTTACACCTGGGAGATGATCTCATCACCTTTTTACAAATGAAGAAACTGAAGCTTAGGTTGGTAATATGTCTTATGCAAAGTCATGTCCTTGAGGGCATCTTTTGTGTGTTAAAAAAGATTAAATCAGCTGATTCCTCCAAGATGGAGTAGCCCCATTCCTTCTTGGTCCCCTCTTTTACACCTAAAAAAAGCCCTGGATGTAACAACAGTGAACATAGAGGACTCTGAAAACTGGCTTTCGTGCTACATCTCAACAGGGGACTGTCTGAAGTAGGATCCAGAGTATTATTTAAAACATCAAGGATACAGGGGCGCCTGGGTGGCTCAGTTGGTTAGGTGACTGCCTTCGGCTCAGGTCATGATCCTGGAGTCCCGGGATCGAGTCCCGCATTGGGCTCCCTGCTCAGCAGGGAGTCTGCTTCTCCCTCTGACCCTCCCCGCTCTCATGTGCTCTCTCTCTCCTCTCATCCTCTCTCTCAAATAAATAAGTAAAATCTTTAAAAAAAAAAAAAATCAAGGATACAATAAAAATCACTTGTCATACCAAGAATAAGGAAAATCATAACATGAGTGAGAAAAGATAGACACCAACATCGAGATGAATCAGATAGAATGATTTGAGTGTTTTTATTTACAGATGACATGCCCGTCTATGTAGAGAATCTTAAAAAAATCTACTAAATTTAAGAGAAACTGGAATTAATAAGTGAGTTCATCAAGGTTGCAGAATACAAGTACACAAAAATCAATCACATTTTTAAAACTTCTCTCTTTTTTTTTTAAATGTGTTACTCTTGGTCTCAGTTTTTTTTTTTTTTTTTAGGTTTTATTTATTTATTTGACAGAGAGATACACAGCGAGAGAAGGAACACAAGCAGGGGGACTGTGAGAGGGAGAAGCAGGCTTCCCGCTGAGCAGGGAGCCCAACTCGGGGCTCGATCCCAGGATCCTGGGACCATGACCTGAGCCGAAGGCAGACGCTCAACGACTGAGCCACCCAGACGCCCCTAAAGCTTCTCTTATTTATTTATTTAGAGAGCGTGAGCACAAGCTGGGGGAGGAGAAGAGGGAGAGGGAGAGAGAGAATCACAAGCAAGCTTCACGCACCCATCACGGAGCCCCATGCAGGGCTCGATCTCATGACTCTGAGATCATGACCTAAGCCAGAATCAGGACTTAAACGCTTTAACCAACGGAGCCACCCAGGTGCCCCAATCACATTTCTATGTACTAACAATGAATATGGGGAAACCAAAATTAAAAATTCATTTATAATCCAAAGAAATAAAATATTTTTTAAAGATTTTATTTGTTCTTTCAAGTAATCTCCATACCCAACGTGGGGCTCAAACTCACTATGTTTATGATTAGAACACTCCGCATAGTAAAGATGACAGTTCTCCCCCATTTGATTTCTACATTTAATGTGATTCCTATCAAAATCCCAGCACAGTGTTTTGTAAACAGACAGGTTTATTCTAAATTTTATATAGAAAAGCAAGGCCCTGGAATAGATAAACTATTTTGAAAAAGAAGAATAATGTGGGAAGAATCACTTTACCTGATACTAAGGATATTATTAAAGCCAAAGTAATCAAGATAGCGTAGTATTGGCAGAGAGATAGACACATAGATCAATGGAGCAGGCTAGAGAAACCAGAAATAGAGCCACACAAATATGCCCAGCTGATTTTTGACAAGGCTGAAAAAACAGCTCAGTGGAGGAAAAGAAAGCCTTTTCCACAAATGGTGCTGGAGAACTTGGACATCTATAGGCAAGAAAAAGAACCTTGACTTAAGTCCAAATGTAAATGTAAAATGAAATAAAAATTAAATGTTAAATGTAAAACTAAAACTTTTAGAGAAAAATATAGGAGAAAAAAAATCTTTGGGACCCATGGCCAAGTGAAGAGCCCTTAGACTTTCTACCATGATCCATAAAGAAAAACGAAATTAATGGATAAGTTGGACATCATCAAAATTAAACACTTGTTCTGTGAAAGACTCTGTGAAGAGGATGGAAAGACAAGCTACAGACTTGGAGAAAATACTTGCAAACCACCTCTGACAAAGGCCTGCTATGTGGAACATATCGAGAACTCTCAAAACTCAACAATTTCTAACAATTGAATTGAAAAACAATTCAGTTAGGAAACGGGCAAGAGGGGCACCTGGGTGGCTCAGTTGGTTAAGGGTCCGGCTCCTGATTTGGGCTCAGGTCATGATCTCAGGGTCATGGGTTGGAGCCCTGCATCAGGCTCCGTGCTCAGTGCTGGGTTGGCTAGGGATTCTCTCCCTCTCCCTCTGCTCTTGCCTCCCACTCACTCACATGTGCTCTCTCTCTCTCTGAAATAAATAAATAAATCTTAAAAAAAATGGACAAAAGATATGAAGGGATGTTTAATTGAAGAGGATATCCAGATGGTAAATAAGCACACGAAAAGATACTCAACATCATTATCCATTAGGGATATGCAAATTAAGCCATAATGAGTTGTCACTACACACCTCTCAGAATGGCTAAAATGAAAAATGGTGATAACACCAAATGCTGGCCAAGAAGAGAAACTGGATCATGCATGCATTGCTGGTGGAAGTGTAAAATAGCCCAGCTGCTCTGGAAAAAAGTATGGCAATTTCTTTTTCTTTTCTCACAGAGAGAGACAAGAGCATGAGAAGGGTGGGGGAAGGAGCAGAGGGAGAGGGAGAGAGAGAATCCAAAGCAGACTTTAGGCCCAGCCTGACACGGCGCTCGATCTCATCACCCTGAGATCATGACCTGAGCTGAAATCAAGAGTCAGACAGTTAACTGACTGAGCCACCCAGGCACCCCAGTATGACAGTTTTTAATGAAAGTAACATGCAGTTCTCACCATGCTCCAACAATTATACTCTTGGGCATTTATTCCAGTGAAATGAAAACTTATGGTCACACAAAAACCAGTGCATGAATGCTTCATAGCAGCCTTATCGTAATACTCCCAAACTGGAAGCAATCCAGAGGTCCGTTACTGGTTAAATAAGCTATGGTACATCCATACCATGGAATACTATCCATTAATAAAAAGGAAAGAACTATTGATACAGTCAATAGCTTGGATGAATCCACAGAATTTTGCTGAGTGAAAAAAACCAATCTCAGAAGTTATATACTCTGTGATTCCATTTATATAGCATTCTGGGAATGACAAAATTCCAGAAATGGAGAACAGATTAGTGATTGCCAGGGGTTAGGGACAAAGGTGGGGGAGCATGGTAAGGGGAGGGAAGAGAGTGTAGCTGTAAAAGGCAGCATGAGGGATGCTTATGGTGATGGAAATGTTCTATATCTTGTCTGTCTTAATGTTACTATCATGGTTCTGATATTGTAGTTAGTTTTGCAAAATGCTACCATTGGGAGAGACTGGGTTAAAGATACATAGGATTTCTCTGTAATCTTAAAAAAAAATTTTTTTTAAACGATTTTATTTATTTATTTGATAGAGAGAGACACAGCGAGAGAGGGAACACAAGCAGGGGGCGTGGGAGAGGGAGAAGCAGGCTTCGCACTGAGCAGGGAGCCCAATGTGGGGCTTGATCCCAGGACCCTGGGATCATGACCTGAGCTGAAGGCAGATGCCTAATGACTGAGCCACCCAGGCGCCCCTTAAAATTTTTTAAAATTTAAATTCTAGTTAATTAACATACAGTGCAATAATGGTTTCATGTATCTTTAAAAAAAAAGATAAAGCAGGGCTACTACCACTAATGAAAATAAATAGTCATTATTAAAGGTACAAATCTCCCTAAGTATTTAAGTTTGATTTACTAATCTTATCATTTTTATAAACACTTCTAAGGGGGATTTTGGAACTTGGTTAATTAGGTTCCCCTAATCCTTTTAAGCCACATTTAAAAATTTAATATATTCATTTTTCATTTTCAAATAGTTCACTTGTCTGATTAACAAAAACTATTGAGCATTTAAATAATTCTTGTACAACTAATAAATAAACTTCTAGACATGGGTAATTTATGTTCTCTTAAAAGTTTTGGTAATTTATACACATTCAATAAAAACGTCTTAAATCTTTAACTTAAATCTAAATCAAAATCTCATTTAAATTAGAACCACAAGATTAATCTATTAATCATTCCATCTTTTAAACAATACAATTAAATACCCAATATATACAGATAATTCATAACTGTAACACAGGATTATTTTAATTTACTTCATCACTTCAATTGTTAATACTAAAATTTTCCCGGGTTTGCTGTATTGATCCATTAAATAAATAATATTTTCTGAAAAGTACTGTGTTGCACTTGGAGTGGGGATTTTGGTGGGTATTGAGAATGTGGCCTCAGCATTCAAGATGATTTGGGTGATTTGTCTCAGGCCGGTGCCTGAGAGGAAGCAGGGGTTCTGAGAACATGCCCTCCAAATGCTTTATTCTGATCTGAAATATTTCCATATAGTCCTTATCTGGAAGGACCACAGCTTTTTTTTTTTTTTTTAAAGATTTTTGACAGAGAGAGAGACGGAGAGAGGGAACACAAGCAGGGGGAGTGGGAGAGGGAGAAGCAGGCTTCCCGCTGAGCAGGGAGCCCAATGCGGGGCTCGATCCCAGGACCCTGGGATTGTGACCTGAGCTGAAGGCAGATGCTTAACTGACTGAGCCACCCAGGCGCCCAAGGACCACAGCTTTTATAGGTGTTTCAGACAGCCATTTGGGAGTTTTGTCCAGCTCCTGTGCCTTTGTGTGGGGCTGTGGTCCTAATGCCAAGCCTCAGGTCATCAGTAATGACAGTGACAACTAGGAATGCCTATTCAGCACTGAATATGTGTCAGGCACTATTCCAAACACTTGAAGGTATAGTAAGATCTTATTTAATCTTCAGGACAACCCTATGAGGTATGCATGACGATGACTCCTGTTTTATAGGTGGGAAAAACTGGGACAGAGAGATCAGGTGACCTGCCCAGGCTCACATGGCTAGTAGAAAGCAGAGCCTGGATTTGAACCCCGGCTATCTGGCTCATTAGTTCTTGCCCTTAACAACCCTGCCTCATCTGACCTTGCTACCGGCCAGGTTGGTGGGAGAGATTGTGGGCACCTGGTCGGCCCCTGTTGCTGCTCCTCTCTTCCCCTCTCTCCATACCCATAGCCATGTGAAAGTCCCCTGCGCACAGTGGGGCCTGGGAGCTTATTGATAGATGTGAGTCCCATGCTCTGCCTCACTGTCACAGGTTATAAGGTCGAGACTGGGTGGGACCGGTTCCCTGGGCCATCTCTTGGATGGTGCATTCCCTGAGACCTGCTCCCAGGCCTGCCTGTACCCTCACTCCCTCTCTGCTCTTTCCCATGCCCTAGGGTTGCATTCCAAGCCCACCATGTTGATGACAAGCCAGCTGAGGAATCCACAAGAAAAGCACAGAGGGAGGTTGGACTTTGGGAAGATACAGGCCAAAATCCGGCTATTGAGGGTATGAGCATCCTCCCTACAGGCACTGGGGCTCGTGGTAGGGATGTGGGGGCAGGGGGACGCTGATAGCAAACATGCACTGAACATTTTGCAGGTGCCAGACTTGACTCATTTCCTTATCAGCAGTGCCATAGGCATGCTTATCATCACCCCCATTTTACAGATGGGAAACTGAGGTGCAGGGAGATCAAGGACTTGTACCAGGTCGCATGGCTAGAAAAATGGCAGTACCAGGGATCAAAGCTGGTTAAGCAAGGTGTTTGCCTTTGTGTTGAAGACCAGGAAAATGATCAGAATCCTTTTTCTGTTTCACTACATTAGGAACACAATCTGGTGGCCTGCTCCTTTAAAAATTTCCAGTAAATTAACTTTTCATGGTATACAGTGCACCTCAAAGCAACGCTCAGAAGCTCACTATTACATTTTTCACATCATCCGATACAGCTTAGATAATTAGCGTTCTCACCATCTATTGCTTTTTATGGCTTCTGAACAATGTTTCAAAGTATTTGAAATGACTAAAAGAGGAGGAGTCTTTTGTGTCCCTAGCAGAAAGTAGAATATTAAATACTATAAATGCTACAAAATACTGGAGAAGAATTTGTACTTTCTTCAAGAAAGTTTTAAGAGCTCAGTGAACAATGACTACTATATAAAGAAATAGGGAAGAATGTATTTGCTTTGAAACCTTTTCTTCCCTTTAACCTTCAATATTGCTGAATGGTTCAGAGGTGGCCCAGCGTTTTTAAAGGAGTAACTCATATTTCTGGTGTTATTTTTATCCTGACTTCAGAACTTGGACAATTTGGCTCTGAAGCCTGGGCTCCCAACCAGTTCCTAATGTTGTCTCTTATGATCATTCAGTCAATTTATTGAATGCCTGCTGTGTGCCAGGCCCTGTTCTAAGTGCAAGGATTCACCAGTGATGTGGCCTCTGACCTTAGGGAGCTCACATTTGACTTTGGGAGACAGATAATAAACAAGACAAATAAGTATATAATATGTGCCATGATGCTGAGGGCAATGAAGAAGTGTAAAAGTAAAGTTAGGGGCTAGCGAGGCACAGAGGAAGAGTGACCGTGACCATTTTAGACAGGGTCGTCAGAGAAGGCTGCTTAAATGGTGACATCTTAGGGAAGAATGTTCCAGACAGAGGAAACGCAAGTGCAAAGGTCCTGAGGTGGGTGTGGCTAGAGCAGGAGATGAGGAAAGCTGGTGGGTGTGAGGGAATGGATGATGACTTGTTTGTAGCTCTGTAATCCATGCTTAGGCTTTGTGTTTCTATGTTGAGTAAGACAGGAAGACCCTGGGGGATTCTGAGTAGAGCAGAGACGTGGTATGACCTAGGTTTTCACAGGAATCCTTGGGCTGCCACTGCTGCTATGTGGAGAATGGACCATGGAGACAAGGGGGAAAAAGGAAGGGGGCAGAAATTACTCAGTTGGTTTGCTCTTGGAGGTGGAATAGGATCCTGACTCTGCCCCTCAGTCTCAGGACAATTATTTGTTCAATCTCCAGCTCTTGAGGGAGTGCCTACTATGTGCTGGGCACTGTGCCAGGTGTTGGGGACACAGCTGTGACCATGGCACTTAGAATCTGTGTGCTTATGGAGCATACACTGTAATGGGGAGACCTATAATAAATGAATTTTATTTTATTTTATTTTATTTTTTAAGATTTTATTTATTTATTTGACAGAGAGAGAGCACATGAGAGGAGGGAGGGTCGGGAGGGTCAGAGGGAGAAGCAGACTCCCTGCCGAGCAGGGAGCCCGATGCGGGACTCGATCCAGGGACTCCAGGATCATGACCTGAGCCGAAGGCAGTCGCTTAACCAACTGAGCCACCCAGGCGCCCCATAATAAATGAATTTTAAAAGCCCAAAGAATAGTCAGTCACCAGTTTATTCAGCCCATACTTTTTTTAAATATATATATTTTAAGGATTTTATTTATTTATCAGAGAGAAAGAGCACAGGCTGGGGGAGTGGCAGGCAGAGGGAGAAGCAGGCTCCCCGCTGAGCAGGGAGCCCGACGCGCGACCCGATCCCATGACCTGAGCTGAAGGCAGACGCTTAAGGACTGAGCCACCCAGGCATCCCTATTCAGCCCATACTTATGGAGCTCCAGACACTGTCCTGTGTGCTGTGTCCTACAGCTGCGTTGGGACAGCCAGCCCCCCTGCCCTCCTGGCTCTGCCATTTAGGTGGGGGAGACAGATAAGAAATAAGAAAAATAAGAAAATAAGATAATACGAAAAACATATAATTACAGACTGGGGTTAAGGATCAGGAAGGAAACAAAGTAGGGTTTCTGCACTCAATCTGGTGCTCAGGGAAGATCCATTTCTAGAGCAGAGGTCATTAATTCTACAGTTTCTCCAAACCCCTGGGAATGGGCCGTGTGCTAAGGAGACACATTCCTGGTACCATCCCCAGCGATGTTGGCTCCGTGGGGCTGAGAATAGTGCCACGTGAGGTAGTGCATGTGAAGTGCTGAGCAGAGTTTTGGGCCTATAATAAACACTCTGTACATTTGCACTCTTACTCTTATTATTATATGAGGAATATGGGAGCTGAGGGCCAGGAAAGGGGTGGCTTCTAGTGAAGGCCAGAGAAATGAGGAAGAACAGAGGAATAAGGAAGAGAGCGCATGGGCACGGCAGAGCCGGAGGGCTAGAGCCGGTGAGAACAGTTATCAGCTCTGGTTCCTGCGTGCACACTGAGGGTGCCAGGCACTGCCACTCACTGGCTTGGTTGTGAACATTATCTCATTTGTTTTTTCCAGCAGCTCTCCGAAGCGAGTGCTAGTTTTCCAACCTTTAGAACAAGTATAGCAGGGTTCTGAGGGGCTGACTCGTTTGCCCAGGAGCCCCGAGGGAGTGAGTGGCTGAGCTGGTATTTGAACCAAGTGGGTCTAGGCCTAACACCCCAATCTGAATACACTACGAGGCTCCACCATGCCTTGCGCTTGAAGCTCGCTCGCTTCCTTGTCTTGGTGTGGTGGGAGAACAGACATTGGGAGTCAGAATTCTGGCTTCCGGGCGCCTGGGTGGCTCAGTTGGTTCAGCGACTGCCTTCGGCTCAGGTCATGATCCTGGAGTCCCGGGATCGAGTCCCGCATCGGGCTCCCTGCTCAGCGGGGAGTCTGCTTCTCCCTCTGACCCCCCCCCTCATGTGCTTGCTCTCTCTCATTCTCTCTCTCAAATAAATAAATAAAATCTTTAAAAAAAAAAAAGAATTCTGGCTTCCCAGTTCCGGTGCCATAACTTTCTGGCTGTGTGACTTGAGGCAAGTCACTTAACCCTGTCTGAGCCTCCCTTTGTCATAAAATAAGAGTCAGTAAACATAGGGCCTTTGGATGAACCAATACCACCTGCCGTGCCCCCGGTGAGGCCCAGTGCCCATCACATAGTAGGCCCTCAACAATTCTTGTTGCTGTTATTATTGTGGATTTTGTGTACCTGCTGGAGGTGACCTTAGCAAGCCCCTTACCCTCTCAGCCCCTCCTTGTTTGCACGGGGCGATGGATGAAATGAGAGGGTACTCATTCAGCTCAGCTGCCTGATGAACAACGGTAGCGATTATCATCCACTTGGCTTCCCCGCTTTTCCAGACATCGCCCCTCACCTGCGCCCCCTTCTTACCTACCTGGGGTGTTTTCTATTATTACTACCATTACTACTGTATTTTATGGGTTCTAAGAAGTCAGTGATAATAAGGTACAGCCTTATCTTATTTCCCACGAACAGATTTTGTCAATTAGATCGTGACATGCCACCCGTTGTAAGAGGCGTCCACCTCTGAGATGTAAAATTCGGGGAAATGGGCGTTTCAGAACGGATGCAATAGTTCAGGGGCTCTGACCCGCAGACAATGGGGCCGCTTTTACCAGTCGAGACCACAAGGGGGCGTGCGTGCGGCAGGAGGGAAGTGGTCCCTAGGCTCCGGGAGGATCGGGCGGCCGCACGCCTCACCGCCTCCCATCCTTGCCCTCCCCTCCGCCTGCAGACGTTGCTCAGGAACCGGCAAACCACACTCCAGGAGCTCTCCAACCATGAGGTCTTCCTCACCAAGCTCAACTGGGAGCTGATCAAGGCCATCCAGGACATGGAAGACAGCTCGGCCCTGAAAGTGCGCACGATGCTGTATCGGCAGGACATCCTTGAGGTGAGGTCCAACCGCCCCCGCCCAGTCTTGGCCTCCGCCCTCTGCACCTTGGTCCTGCCCACAGGCGCCGCCCCCTTGGGCCCTCGGGCGCCCTCTCCTGGCCTCTTCCGGCCGGTTGCGCAAGCTGCTTCCTCCCTCTGGAAGATGCATCTCTCCGGCCCTTCGCCCCACTCAGCTGGGCTTTGGAACCGGACCGAAATGGGGGCTCATCCCAACGCCAGCATTTAACCAACTGAGCCACCCAGGCGCCCCAGCGCCAGCATTTATTAGCTGGGGGACTTCGAGTTAACCTCTGAGCTCTGTAAAATAGAGCACAAAGCACCCACCGTAAAGCGGGTGTTGTCCTTGGCACGCAGCAGGTGTACCACCCCCACCATCAGTACTCACAGTGTTGTGTATGCCCATGTAATTCTGCCAACAACCCCGTGGGGTGGGCACTATTATCTCTATTTCACATAGGAAAAAACGGAAACAGAGAGAGGCTGGGGAACTTGCTCAAGGTCACCCTGAAGCTCACTCACCTAGCAAGGGTCAGAACTGGGACTTGAACGCAGGCCATCTGGCTCCAGGATCTGGCTTCCTTCCACCGTGCTGTGGTTACCACCCTCAGCCAGTGGTGCTGCTCCCAGTCTACGGGTGGAGCAACTTTTAACGAGAACCCCAGAGGCATCCTCTGCCTCCTCTGGGAGAGGCTTGGGAAAGCTGCCGGAGGAGAGCTGGAAGTTCACAGGGGACCCAGGAGTTGGGGCTGGAGGAGAGGCAGAAGAAATGGTTTCATGGAGCAGTAACGCCCTCTGGCTGCCCAGGCAGAAGAGGGACTGAACTCCCCGGACCTGTGAGATGAAGAGCAAGCCCGGTCTTGGGGACTTAGTCTGCTCTGGTGACCATAACAAAGCACCATAGACCAGGCGGCTTACGCATAGAAATGTACTTCTCATAGTCTGGAGGCTGGAAGTCCAAGATCAAGGCGCCTGCAGGGTTGATGTCTGGTGAGGCCTCTCTCCTTGGGGTGCAGATGGCTGCCTTCTCTCTGGGTCCTCACATGGCCTTTCCTTGTGCTCACATGGAGAGAACTCTGGGGTCTCTTCCTCTTCTTACAAGTACACTACTCTTACCGGATTCCGCACCCTTTGGACCTCAGTCAGTCTTTATTACCTCCTTAAAGGCCCTATCTGCACAAACAGTCATATTGGGGGTTAGGGCTTCAACATATGAATTTGGGGGTACACAGTTCAGTCTATAACACAGGCCAAGGATTGCAGAGTCATTTAGCCCAAGGGAACTTAGTAGAATATTCTCCAAACTTAGACAAAATCATTGTTGATCTTCTGGCATTGATCCATTAATATAATTTTTGTTCATTCTGAGTGCTCCCTGTGGGCCCTTGGGAAACAGTGATCGGTGGGACCCTGTCCACATCAAGCTGTCATTCTAGTGGGGTCACAGGCGGTTAGAAAGTCATTTGTGTGTACTGCCATGGGGATGGGGATCTGGGGAGCTGAGAGGGGTCTCTCGCCCAGACATGGGAGGGTCAGGAAGGCTTCCTGGAGAAAGTGATGCTTGGATTGAAACCTGCAGAAGTAGGTATTAACTGGTAGAGAGCAGGAGAGTGTTCCAGGCAGGGAAAATGGGTGCAGAAGGCCCGTGGAGAGAGGGAGCTTCCCTCAAGGAGCCACATGTTGGCGTAGGCCAGCTCCAGGAGGGCCTTGTCAGCCAAGGTAAGGAGTTAGGGCAGAGGGGAGCCCCTGGAGGGTTTTAAATAGGGGAGGGATAAGGTCAGCTTTTTTTTTTTTTTTTTTTTCATTTTCAAAGAAAGATCATCCTGACTGTGGCGTGGAGCAGAGATCAGAGGAGGACCGGTTAGGGGTAGCTGTGGTGGTATTTGAGGCAGGAGATGAAGAGAACTTGACTTGCTCCATTTCCGACCTGGGCCGGTTCACCCATCCTTAGGCAACCTGGGGGTCCCCCGCTCCTGGGAGGTCACCATATTGATGCCGAACTTAGTGCGGACACAGCGCACTACAGCCCAGAACTCCTGGGCTCAAGTGATCCTTCTGCCTCAGCCTCCTGAGTAGCTGGGACTACAGGCGTCCACCACCGCACCCGGCCGATGAAGAGAACTTGAATAAGACAGTGGCAGTGGGGATGGAGAGAAGGACATGGCTTTGAGGGCTGTTAGGGGTTAAATCCATTGCACTTGGTGACATTTCGAAGGAGGGCGGAGTGGGGACCGCTGTCTGGGTTTGGGCCAGTGCCTGGGTGTGTGGTAGAGCCACCACTGGGGTGGGTGGTAGGAGAGGGCCCAGTTTGGAGCGGCTGGGCCGGCCTCTGGTCAGGTCCCTGGGTCTGGGAGTGGGTTTAGATCTGGGGAAGTGCCGAGTCCCCCCAAGAGCCCATGCTTCGGTAGTGCCAGGAGAGGTTGTGGGGCGAGCTGACCCCGCCTCTCCCACAGACTGTCATGGATATCTTGGAGTGCTCGAACAAGAAGAAGCTGCAGAAGCTCAAGGAAGAACTTAAGGAGTGGGAGGAGAAGGAGGAGTCCAAGATGCAGTGTAAGAGTCCCTGGCGTGAATTCCTTGATCCCCTCCCTGGCTTCGGGGAGGTCAGCAGGGCATTCATCTTGCACCTACCTTTTGGAAACCAGTAGGCCCAGCATCTCCCCTGTTAGGCAGATAGAATTGCTAAGATGCAGAGCTAATAGCTTACTTCTCGAGCACTGAACACTGAGCACTTCCAGGCCCCCCGAGGCTTCGTATGTATGGGCATATGCTCAGTCATTGCAACTACCTGTGAGGCAGGGACTATTCGCCCATGTTACAGATGAGAAAGCTGGAGCTAAAGGAAGTGTGGTAGCCTGCTGAAGGTCATAATAGCTGGGAGCCAGGATCCAGCCCCAGCCTTCCCCTGCTTCCTGCCCCTGTCATTGAGTCAGTGGCTCAGCCAGCTCCCAGGTCTTCTGGCTTCCATTGTGCCGAGCCTGTGGTTTCTTTCCCTGGAGCAAACTGGAAGCCTTCTGAGGGAAGGGGTGGTGTGTCAGACCCTGGGGACACCGCCCATGGAGGGCATCAATGCAGACTTTGTCTTAATGGTCATTTCACGGGAGTCTGTGTCGCCCCATCTCCCTGGGCTTGTTGCCATGGGAGTGTGTGCATGAGGAGACTGAGGTCCAGGGAGGGACAGTCTTGGCGAGGGCCACACAGTAAGTCAGTGGCAGAGCTGAGACTCGTCTGGGGATCTTGCCCCGGTTTAGTCTCTTTCCTACCCAGTGTTGCCTCTTCTCCTGTGGGGGTAAAAGACTCTAGTGTGAGCTCACTTCAACCAGACCCCAGTCCATTGGCCAAGGAGAGCTTTGCCTCCCGGATCTCCTGGGAGGGGTTCTTGAGGGAGGATCCTGCCTCCTGTCCCTCCCGACTTCTCCAGGCCTGGCACGGCAGGTGGAACAGCTGAATGCCAAGATTGAGAAGACCTACAAGGAAGTGAGCTTCCTGAGCACGTACATGGACCACGATTATCCTGTCAGGTCGGTCCAGATTGCCAACCTTGTGCGCCAGCTGCAGCAGATAAAGGACAGCCAGCAGGTAGGTGAGCCCCTGGCCCTGCCCCGCTGGACCGTACTGGAGACAGGCTGGTGGCCCACACCCTCCTGCTGGCCCCTAGGATGAGCTGGATGACCTTAGTGAGATGCGCAGAATGGTCCTGCAGTCTTTGTCTAATCAGATTCAGAAGAAGAAGAGAAAGCTTCTGAAAGCTCTGGTGGTGGTGAGTGGTGGGTGTCCAGGTCCTGCCCCAGCCCTGCTTCCTTCCCCGTCCTCTGCTTCAGGGCCCCCTGCACCCCCCGCTGGTCTCTCCCAGGCACTGCTGCCCAGGGAGAGGCGCTGGGGGCCAGAACTCTTCTCCCTCCGCAGAAAAGCCAGCAACCCCATCAGGAGGCTCTTCTGCAGAAGACCCAGGACAACCAGGACATGCTGAAGTGCATGGACAAGTTCAGAGAAGTGCGTGGGCACGGAAGGGGACGGCCCCTCTGTGAGGGAGCAGAAGGGCAGGCCCCAGGACCTGTGGGAGTCAGGCTTGTCCTGATCTGGCATCGGCCTCCCTCCTAGCTAGTGCCGTTACTGTTCCTTGCCATTCACCTGAGAAGGAGGTTAGTGTGGGCCCAGGCCTTGCCTCACTGGCCAGCATCAGCGGTGATGACCCATTAGCAACATCACCAAGCGTCACCCGCTCACCCATCATTTTGCTGTCATTACCACTCCCTGTCTTCACCACTTAATTCTCGCCACTGACCATCACTCGTTAGCTGTGTTAATGAACTTCACCGTCACCACCCACCCCCCCGCATTCATTTTCATTATCATCCTCCATCCACTGTCAATGTGAGTGACCTTCACCGTCTCTGCCAGCCCCCATTCATTCTCATCATCAGGTACTGCCCCCCTTTGCCACCTGTCTCCATGCTCCACGGTCTCCGTGCCGTGTTCAGCACCATCAGATGTTGGCCCTAACTCTTGAGCAGCCCTCCAGAGCCCAGGAGGCCCCTGTGACCAAGCCGTGCCATCCCATGCCTAGATGGCCTCTCTCCTCGTCCGGGTTGCCGTGTTCTCCCTTCTGTTGGGGGACATTGGGCTCCTCACCCTCCCCTGCTGTGCTTCTCCCCTCAGTTTATCAACCAGTTTGAGGAGGAAATACCCATATTGAAGGCAGAGGTGGAGCAGCTCCAGGTCCAGGTCCAGGAGCCCCGAGAGATCATATTTGCGGATGTTCTGCTTCGGAGACCCAAGTATGTGATCTGTTTTGGCAGCTGCTTCTTAAACCCGCCATGCTGTGTCCTCGAAGAGGCTCTCTGTTCCCAGGGAAGGCAGCCTGGTGGAGAAGGCAGAACCCCGGACGGGGTGCAGGGAGACCTGGGTCTCGCCTCAGCTCTGCTGCTGACCATGTGGCAGACGTGATCTTTCCCGTCTCTGGGCCTTTGTGTCCCATTAGTACATGGAAGCTGAGTTACATAATCTTTTTGGACTCTTCCGGGTCCCAGATTCCATGTTTCCATGGACCCCTAAGCTCCTGGGTTGTTCAGGAAGATGGACTTGAGTAGGGTGGCTGGCTCCAGGGAAGAGGGGCCTGGAAGACACTCTGTAAGGAGAGAAGGATGTCTTCTGTGCCCTGCAGACTCCTGGGCCCCAAAGGAAGAACTTCCTTCCTTCCAAAGCCAGTTCTCCGCCTGCCTTTCTTGGGTCAGGCCCTTTGTGGCAGAGCTTGGGGAACCCACAGGACCAGGCGTCTCCAAGATGTCACAGAGGCCCTGGGGCACCTCAGTGCAGAGCCCGCAGGTAGACGGCGGACCTCAGAAGACAGATACTGGCTAGAGATGGAAATTTGGGCATTGTCTGTATAGAGATGCTTTTTCTTTTTGCTATTATTATGGACAATTTCAAATATACAGACAGTAGAGAGAATATTTGGATGAATACTCAGTTGCCCGTGTGGATTAGAAGTTATGTTTTTGCCATACTGGCTTCATCTTCGTTCCTCCGCTTTTTCTCGTGAAGTACTGTACTTTGCAGATGTCCTGACATTTCATGCCTAAGTACCTCGGTGGGCGTCAGGAGAGTGTGGAAACCACAAGAGTGGATGAGAGACTTGGGACAAGGTGGAGAGAGCGTGTGATCCTGTGGCCCCCTAAGCGTGCTGGTCCCTGCGATGGGGGCTGTATTGCAGGCGGGAACCCGCTGTTCTCGCTCCTTCTGTGCAAGGAAGGATACCTGTCAGTTACTGAGCATTTTGTCTCACTTAGTCTGCCCGCCATAGATCGAGGTTGGACTTACGCCCATTTGGGCAGTGAGGAAGCTGAGGCTGCTCTGGGCTCTGGCACAGCGAGCGCTTGTTACACACGTGCCAACTGAGGGCGTGGGGCTCCGAGGGGAGGTGTAAGCTCAAGGTGCCATGCAGCCAGGGGTCCAAGCCGGCCGTTCTGACCGCAAAGAGAGCGCTGGTCGTGAGAGGGCCCGCATTTCAGAGCCGAGTGCCTGCTCCTTCTTGACCTCAGACCTCTGGAGGGGAACATTAATCATGCCAAACCCATGCCTTTTTCATTTTTGGTGTGTGCGTGTGGGTGCGCACACCCACATGCACACCAGTGTTTTGGGATGGGGCTCCTCAACTAAGTACCAGTGTTCTGAAGAGCAGGGTGCCCCCGAGGGCGTGCTCCTCCACTCTGCAACTCTGGTGCCCCTGCTTGACTTCTCACATCCTCTTTGCTCTGCCCTACCAGGTGCACCCCAGACATGGACGTCATCCTCAACATCCCGGTAGAAGAGCTGCTACCCTTCTAGTGGGGCCAGGGGCCAGCCTTTCCTCCCTGCTCTTTTCCCCATACCCGGAGCCTTGAATTGTCTTCTTCCATGACTGCATGCCCACTCAGAGCCTAGTCTGCTCTCCCTCCCTCCCCTCCTTCCCTGCCTCCCTTTCTTCCCTCTTTTCCTTCCTTCTTTCCTTCCTTCCTTTCTTCCCTCCTCCCACCCTCCCTTTCTCCCTCCACCCTTCCTCTCCTTTCCTTCCTTTCTCTCTCCCTCCACCCTTCCTCTTTTCTTTCTGGTTGGTGCCGCTGCTTGGGCCAGGTGGGCATTCCCAGTCAAGTCTGCCATTCCTTTTGACCAATAAAGCTGGATTTGCATTTGCTCTTTTACTTGGAGATCTCCAGCTAGGCCTTGAGAAGAATGGACTTTGTCTTAAGATAAGGGGTGGGTAATGTGCCTGGGTGGCTCAGTCGGTTGAGTGTCTGCCTTCGGCTTAGGTCATGATCCCAGGGTCCTGGGATCGAGTCCTGCATCGGGCTTCCTGCTCTGCGGGGAGCCTGCTTCTCCCTCTGCTCCTGCCTCCCTCTTTCTCTCTCTCTGTCTCTCATGAATAAATAAAATCTAAAAAAAAAGAAAGATAAGGGGTGGGTAACTGCGCTGACTGTGTCTGGGGCCCAGGACTTCTTGAGAAGCGCCGAGCGAGACTAGCTTGGGCTGTGCTGTTCCTGGTGCGGTGGGAGCCCAGCTTCCCTCCTGACTTGTGCTCACCCCTGTTGAGGCCTGTGCCAGGGCAGAGAGGGGACCCCCCAAGCTGATGCCCCTGGGAACTTGCCGGGTTTTCTTCGCTGATGGCCATCCCTCTTCCGGCCCATTGTCTGTCTGTCCAGTGCCTGTACCCCAGGTTTGCGTGGACGTGAACACACACTCTTACTCAGATGCAGAGTCAGGCACAGCCCTCCACCATGTGCTGGCTTGGAGATGTGCTGCCCGAAGCCCCCTTCAAACAAGGACTGTTGCTGCAGTTACTGGAAGCGCCGTGGGCACGTGCCCTTCGGCGGTCAGACCCTTCGGGGTTTGCCTCGGCTGCAGGGAGCCACCTCATCCAAGGTCAGTCCCCTTCTCACATCCGATGACTGCTCCGTGTGCAAATACCGAAGGCCCAGCCCTCTTGGCCTCACTTGGGACGCCTCTGAAGGCCTCTTCTGGCTCCAGCACTCCATGTAAGGTCAACTGAAACTGTCCCTGGGCTTGCATGACGGCTGACTTCTCCCTCTGCCCAGACCTGCCTGCTTCTGCCGTCCTCCGTTGATTCCCAGGTGCTCAGTAGTCAACATCCTGCACTTTGCACTTGGCCTCAGGGCCGCTTCCCTGGGGACCCAGACTGCTGCAAATCCTCAGACCCTCTGGCTGCTCACCGATCCACCCTGCCTACAGAGAGACTTTGGGTTACAGGTTACAGGACACCCCACCAAATTGCCCTAGACAATAAAGGGCTCAGGTAAATAAATGTCCTACATGAGGCGAGGTTTTATCCAGACATCAAGTGACGGCACCAAGGCCCAGTTTCTGTTTCTCTACTTTGTTCTCCAAGGTGTTCTCCTCCTCCTGAGGCTGGTACTCCTGTGGTCGCAGTATGGCTCCCAGCATCTCCTGGGGGGTTGCAACTCCTTGTTCACGTCCTGCTGGGAAGAGTGTCTCTGCTCCAGAATTTTCAGCCCAAGTCTTCATATTCACTATGACTGGCCTAGCTTATATTGCATGCCCACCTTGAACTAGTCTAGGAGCTGGAGAGTGCTACTGGTTTAGTCTAGGTTACGTGCACTACCCTTGGAGCAGGGGAAGGGTGGTTGAGGTGGAGCTTGTGACCTAGGTTAAGCCAGTAGGCACCTTTACAACCGTATGGATTGCAAAACAGAAATGAACAATAGTTTTTTTTTGTTTTTGTTTTCTTTAGATTTTGTTATTTTTAAATTATTTTTTTAAATTATTATTTTTTAGAGAGGGTGGGGGAGAGGGGCAGAGGGAGAGGGAGAGAGAGAATCTTAAGCAGGCTCCCAGCCCAGCAGGAAGCCTGATGTGGGGCTCCATCGCATGACCCTGAGATCATGACCTGAGCCAAAATCAAGAGTCCGACACTTAACTGAGCCACCCAGCCACCCCTAAAGATTTTATTTTTTGGTAATTTTCACACCCAACATGGGGCTTGAATTTATAACCCTGAGATCAAGAGTCACGTGCTCCACTGATGGAGCCAGCCAGCAGCCCAGAAATGGACAACGTTGAACATAATAAGAGCAAACACTTAGCTAACATGTACTCTATGCTTTTCATATACCCAGTCATTAAGTCCGTACAAGATCAACCCTTTGAGGTAGGTATTGTTAGCATTTCCATCTTACAGATGAAGAACCCACTACATGAAGAGGCAAAGTGATTTTCCAAATTCACCAGGCATAAGGTAGTTCACTCTTTTTTTTTTTTAAGATTTTATTTATTTGACAGAGAAAGAGAGAGGGAGAACAAGCAGGGGGAGCAGCAGAGGGAGAGGGAGAAGCAGACTCTGCTGAGCAGGGAGCCCGATGCGGGGCTCGATCCCAGGACCCTGGGATCATGACCTTAGCCGAAGGCAGATGCTTAACCGACTGAGCCACCCAGGCACCCCAAGGTAGTTCACTCTTAAGCACTGTACTGTCAGGAGGTCAGCTGAGCTGGAGAGCTGAGCTACCAGGTGTGAGAGCAGCCAGTTAAGACAATTCAAAACTAAAATGACAGTCAAGACTTTCATTGCTTACTTAGTGCAAGGAAGAGGCTAAACCAGAGAAAGTGCCACCATCCATTCCATTTTCCCTATGGAATGGCACCCACGGTCAGGTGGATGAGCGCCTGGGGGTGGTCTCACTGCTGAGGGAGCCCCGAACAAAAGGCTCCTGCGGTTTTGTGAATCTGGGGTTGGGGTGGGGAAGGAAAGTGCGGGGTCCCGAGGTAGTTGGGAGATAAGTGTCTTCAGGGTTTCCCGTCCCCTCTGCCAGGGAGGGGTTGGCAGGGGCACCCGAGGAAGGTGTTGGTGGCTGAGTCCTTGGCTGCTCCCCACTCAGAGACTGCCAGGCACTGGCTGGGCACCCAGGCTGGGGCGTGGAGGGTAGCTTCCTGGGAGGACTGCCAGGGGGAAGCCGTTGTCATGGCCTATGGTTGGGCCTAAAAAATCACATAGGCTTTCAGCCAGGACCTGGACACCTCATAGTGAAGGAACAAATGAATTCTGGGAAGGAAAACCAAGGAAGGAAGCCTGGACATACAGATTCCGTCACATTGCACGCAGCCCTCATGCCTCCAGATGCAACAGAGAGTAACCCCACACTCTGCACGGCGTACACGGATCTTCCCCACTTACCAGGGCTGCGCGCGGGTCAATCCTCGTGTGCACAGGGATGCCTCCATGCACGTGCACGTGGGTACACACCAGGACTGTCTTAATCCATAAAAGGAGGACCCTCGTTACGTGACTTATCAGGAATTCTATGTCCTGGTCAGCTTTGTCCCCAGTAATAATGCTGCATAAGAAACAGTGGAAACTGAGCCACCCAGGTGCCCCAACGCCAGTTATTTTTTATCTTACAGTTCTGTAGGTCAGAAGTCTGGCACAAATCTCAAAAGGCTAAAATCAAGGTGTCAGCACAGCTGCGTTCGAGGCAGAGGCTCTAGAGGAGAATCTGTTTTCGCCAGCTTCCAGAGTCTGCATCTATTCCTTGGTGAGTGGCCACTGCCCCAGCTCCAGCCCCAGTAACTGCAGGTCAGGTCCCATCTCCTGTCCCTCTGGCTTCCTCTTCTGCCCTCTTCTACTGTTAAGGGCTCTGTGACATTGTATCCACCAGGATAATTTACAGCGATCTGTTTCCAGGTCAGCTGATTAGCAACTTAATTTTATCTGCAATCAGAATTCCTTTTTGTCATGTACCATAGCACACTCCCAGATTCTGGGGAGAGGAGGTGGACATCTCTAGGGGGCTATTTTCTGCTTACTACAGTCTGCCTTCTGGACTCCAAAGTTTCACATCCATCCCACATGCAAAATACATTCGCCTTGTCCTCAACTCTCATCCTGTGATAACATCAACTCAAAGCAAAAAATCCTTATCTGGGGGTGCCTGGGTGGCTCGGTCGTTAAGTGTCTGCCTTCGGCTCAGGTCATGATCCCGGGGTCCTGGGATCGAGCCCCACATCGGGCTCCCTGCTCAGCTGGGGGTCTGCTTCTCCCTCTGACCCTCTTCCCTCTTGTGCTGTCTCTCATTCTCTCTCTCAAATAAATAAATAAAATCTTTAGGGGCGCCTGGGTGGCTCAGTCGTTAAGCATCTGCCTTCGGCTCAGGTCATGATCCCAGGGTCCTGGGATCGAGCCCCACATCGGGCTCCCTGCTCCGCAGGAAGCCTGCTTCTCCCTCTCCCACTCCCCCTGCTTGCGTTCCCTCTCTCGCTGTCTCTCTCTCTGTCAAATAAATAAATAAAATCTTAAAAAAAAAAAAAAATCCTTATCTGAATCTCATCAGCTCAAAGGTCTCCTATCTCATAACCTGAACTAGATAGAGGGAGGATCTGAGAATAACTCATCGTGGGGCACAATTTCTTTCCATGCGTGGATCTAAGAAACTCAAGGAACAGGTTACCTGCTCCCAAAATACAATGGTGGGGGGGACATAAGGTACCTAAAAGTTATATAGGCTTTTCCATTCAAAAGGGAGAAAATGAAAGGAAAAAAAGGAGTCACTGGTCCCAAGCTATTTCAAAATTCATCTGCTGTGTAGGCCTAGAATAATCCTCTGGGCTTGTGGCTCCACCTTCTGGGCCTGAGACTTTACCTTTGAGGTTATTTTTCCTTTCGATGCCAGATAGTACCTTTTTGTAGCTCAGTGGTTCCGCCAGCCTGTTTCCTGCCTAAAGGATTTTGGAGGTTGACGTCCTGCTTTCATTTTTCGTCTTCTTTCGTCTCTGTCCCTTTCATTCCAAGCTGGCAATGTTTCTGCTGACATGACACCTCAGGAAGCCCGTGGGCCTCTGGTGCATGTCACAGGAATTCACTCCATTCGTCTCCTCCACGTAGCTTTCCTAGAGACTCCCGTCCCTTCTGACTTGTGACTTCTGCTCAGCTGGCTAAGGGGATCTGGGCGTCACACGCTTCCTCTCTTCAAAGGGTCTTTAAAAATTGTGGCGAAATATATATAACATAAAATTTACCATTTTAAGTGCATGATTCAATGGCCCTAAGTACACACACACTGTTGTGTCCGTGTTACTACTATCTCCAGAATTTTTCATCTTCCTGAAGAGAAACTCTGTACCCACTAGAGAATAACTCCCCACCAAATTACAATCCGCCCCCCTCACCTGCGGCCCG